AATCTGTGTACTTTCATAATCATTTACAACAACTTCATCATCTTCATCTTCAGTAATTTCAGTAATTTCAGTAATTTCAGTAATTTCAGTAATTTCAGTTATTTCAGTAATTTCAGTAATTTCAGTATCTTCAGTATCTTCAGTATCTTCAGTATCTTCAGTATCTTCTAATATTTCTAATCTTCCTTCTATTAATTTTAATTCTAAGCATAATTCTTTAAGCTTCTTTGCTATTTCGTTTTCCATTCTTTTTTATTATGTGAAGAAAATTATTTATATCATTTTCAGAAAAATTAAATTTACAAAAATGCAATATTACTTATAATTATGTAAATAATCTATTATATATATTATTAGATATATTCCAAGATATATTATTAGATCCTGAAGGGATCCAGATTAGCAAAGCTAATTGAAATAAATCAAAATAAATATGTATATATAAAAATGTACTGCGTTAAATGTAAAAGTAAAACAGATACACTAAACTTACAACATGCTGTAAGTAAAAATAATAGAAATATGTTACGTGGAAACTCTTCTCTCGGCGGAGCAGCGAAAACTCAATTTTCAAAAGGAACTAGCGTAGGTGATTTATTAGAATCTATTAATAAATTTACAAAAAATATAAAATTACCATGGGCAAAATTTAAAGGTGAAATGCATTTACCAGGTATAAACTTTGCAGGACCTTATACTAATTTAGAAGAAAGATTAACTTCTACTGAAATGCCTGAAAAATGGAGCATGCCGTAGATAGAATTGATAAAGCAGCTTATATTCATGATCTTGCTTATAAACATTTTCCAGATATAGAACATAGAAATTAAGCTGATAAAATGATGATTGAACAAATGGATGCTACACCTAATCCTACACCACGTGAAAAAATTGAAAGAAAGATTATAAAACCTATTATATCTGCTAAAGTAAAATTTGGTATGGGAAATAAAGAACCAATGAGTATTAAAGAATTATGTCAAAAAAACAACCAGCGCACAGGAAAAAAGCAAAAGATTTGAAATGGACTGATGAACTTGCAAATGAACTTCATAAACCTGTTATAAAACATTTTAGAAATAGAAAAGTGATTGCAAATAAGATTGATGATATATGGGCTGCAGATTTAGATGATATGCAAGCTTTTTCCAAGTTCAATGACGGTATAAAATACTTATTGATGGTGGTAGATATAATTTCAAAGTATGGATAGATTGTTCCATTTAAAAATAAGAAAGGAATTGAATTTGCTAATGCATTCAATAAAATATTTAAAGTTAGAAAATGCGATAAATTATGGGTAGGAATTTTATAACAAACATGTTAAAGCATTAGGAGTGCAGCTCTATTCAACTGAAAATGAAGAAAAACTGCTTTTCTAAATCGTTTGGTTAAAAAAAGCTTGTGATTGCCTCTGAGGATTTTAGTTTTTAATGGTGTAAATTCAAAATTTTTTACTACGAAACCTTCTGGAGCGTTCTTAGCACTTCTTCGATTAAAGGTTCACAACAATAAAAGCCCTGACCTGGAAGAGACTGCATCATTACCCAGCCGTTTTATTATCCATTACCCAAATTATTGGCATCTAAATACATTTTATTTGGTTTACAATCATCAAAACTTGGTCACCCTAGATTGTAAGTCTTTGCAAAAGACTAACAATCCACTTATCCCCAACACCTTTATCAATACTTGAAGAGAGATCAACTTGCGAGAGTTTACAGCTGCTACAGTACAAAACTACGTATTCTGCCTTGAAACTAAATAAATGGGACTTAACGCAGTACATCCCCGTGTTTTAAAAAACTGCGCAAAAGCTTTTGCAATATCTCTTTCATGCAATCCTTTTGACCTGGAAATGTCTCAGATCTTTAGCGTAAATCAAATGTTACTCCTATTTTTTCAAAAAGGTAAGAAACTAAAGTCTTATAATTATAGGCCGGTATCTCTCACCTCTGTACCGTGCAAGGTAATAGAGAGAATTATAAAAAAGAGGGTTATGAAACACTGTACACTACACAATCTAATTTCAAAGTCTTGACATGGATTTAAAAAATCACAAAGGTTGCCTTAAAAACCTAATTGAATCTCGTGACATTCTCACGGAGGCAGCTTACCGTCGACACCTTGTTGACATAATTTTTACAGACTTTGCCAAAGCTTTTGAAACAGTGCCAAAAAACTCCTTTACAAGATTCAGGCCTATGGCATTAGAGGCCAGCTATTCCACTTGATCTCTGCTTGGCTAAATGAAAAAAAAAAAACGTGTAATTATTGGGGAACAAACTTCCGAGTGGAAAAGAGTGGAAAGTAGAGTCCCTCAAGAATCAGTATTTAGATCACTCCTATTTGTGCTCTTTGTCAATGACTATCCAGATGGCATTAGCAGTTATACCAAGTTATACGCCAATGATAGGAAGATCATTGGAATTATAAATAATAATTAATCATCCTCTGATTAAGAAACACTGCAAATGGACATTGACAGCGCTGTAAGTTGGTCACATAACTATCTTATGCATTTCAACATCGAGAAGTGCAAGGTAATACACGTTTATTGCCACAAAATAAATCTACACATAACTACAACATGGCTGACATCTATGGTAACTGACATAATTTAATATAAACTCCAACATGCATTGAGCGCGACCTTGGGGTACTAATATCCGACAACCTCAAAGTGAATGCACAAGTAGAAGCAGCGCTTTGGCCGGAAATCTAACTCTTGGTCGCCTAAAAAAGACATTTCAATGCCGTAGCCTCCAGCTTTTGAAAAAGGTTGTACCAGCTATACATTTGACCGCAGCTAGAGTTTTGTGTACAAGCCTGGTCTCCGTATCTTAAATCGGATATCGTCCTTTTCTAAGTATGCAAAAATGTATTATACTGCTATTCAAAATTGCTCATCAGTTACAAGAAGTTAAGTTTTACATACCACAAGTACAGCCTTTCTTATTAAACTTACGCTATAATCTGAGAAGAAACAGCCAATGTTTAAAACCACAACTGATCAAAAGTTATTCAGAACGTCAGCACTTCTTTACAAACCGTGTTACTAACCGATGGAACAAATTATCTCAGAATGTAGTTGATATACCTTCAGTACACTTTTTAAAAAAATACACATTTATCATATTGCTTCGGCAGCAACAATGTCCATCGTCAGCATAGGAATGCCTGGTGTGCTTCTCTTCATCAATTCTAAACATCATATGTGGATGTTGTATTGATTACTGTAATGAATAGATTTTTAAAAAATGTCGATTTAAGATTTTTCTTTAACTTTTTTCGCTACATCTGAAGTTATCTTTTTAAATAACCCATTAGTATAACGCAACTTTTCAATCCTCCAATAGGGTTAGGAGAAAAACATGTTCACATGCAACTTTTTCACTAACAATTCTTTTAAAACATTTTTTAATTAAAACATTGAAAAGTTTTTCGGTTATAACACCTTAAAGTTTTTACATACTTGTGAAACTACTGTATTTAACTCTGCAATTTTTAATAACTCTTTTGATGTTTTTTTTTTTGTAAAGAGTTCATTTTTTAATTTGTTTTTCGAACTATAAATATATATATATCTCATATGTTTCTCTAACTAAATTTTTTGCCGATGTCTTTTTTTAACTCAAGGTTTGAGAATAAATACATTTCATCTTCTATTTTTTTCAACAACGACTGCTTTCGCATGGAATAGAAATGAAATTCCCATAGGGCTTATGAAAATGTTACCAAAATTCACAATTGCATCAATCTTACACCTCTTCTCAATAAAATTTTAAATATTTTGATTTAAAATTTTTTCCTCACTTACTTTTGGTAATTTATATCATGTCCTACCACGTACTAAGTAAAGTTCTCTTTTATCATAAAATTAAGTTTTATCCATGCTAGGTAAAATTCGTGTAACTGCGGTTCCCTCATACTTTTTAACAATGTTAACAATTTTCGGATTAGGAAGAACTATTACACTATTTAATAAAGTGTTGTATTCTGTTTAGAAACATTTTACTAATTCATCCGCTATTTGTGTAGTAATAAGTACTTCACCCGCTTTCATAGAGTAAGCAATATCTTTTACATTATTATTTTTTTTTTACTCTTTCTAAATACTCTTCACCACGCTTAAGACGCTGTTTTATTTCACTAATAAAAGCTTCATTCAAACTAGAAAAAGCTGCATAATTATTACTCATTGCATAATTATTATTTTTTACAAATTAAGATTATTGGTCTATTTTTCTAGATCATTTTTACTAATAACACGTCCTATATGAGTCTTATCGTACATTGAAATCAAATGTCCTGAAACTTCTATAGGGCCTGTAAATGTTACACTATAGCTTTTCACCAAATAACTCTCCATACAGGGCCCCTGTCGGAGCTGTCATATAAGAATTTGAATTGGCACATTGAGCAAGTTTTGAACCATAGTTGGCAAATTGCAAATGTTGAGAAGCTTTTTTTTTTTCTGTGTTTTTAGTTGGCAAAAAAATACATACAGCCCCCTATGGAAGGCTTCTTTGGGTTTCTTCATATATATAGAAAGCGGTTGATAAAAAAAAATTTTTGATAAGAGGAAAAAATGTATACGAAAATGATTTTTAATGAAAGAGATATTGTTAGCCATTTATCTGAACTGAAAAACA